TCACCATATAATTGTGGACACATAAATATAAACTGTACAAAACTACCATCAAATTGGAAAACAAAGATCACATTTTTTATCAGTTCCCATCAACAATAACTAATCAGTCAAAGCTTACAAATTTCAATTTCAAATCACTCAACAATAACTAATCAGTCAAAGCTTACAAATTTCAATTTCAAATCAAGAAAACATTATTATCCTCCTCTAACAACACATGATAGCCTAATTAGTAATTACCCCTGTTCAAAACCCAGAACAGACATCAATAGCTTATGAAATATGAACCCATGTCCAAAAACATCAGTTCCAAATACAATGCAAACACAAAATACATAAAAAAAAAAAAAGGTAGTACCTTTGAGTACAACTCATCAATCCCCATCCAATGGCGTCTCGGATGTCGGTGACTGCACGGAGCTCGTCAGCACGCCTTCCCTTGCATCAACGAGCATTGCAATCACTTCCCGCATGGTGGGCCGGTTAAGTGGGCCCGTGTTTGTGCAAAACAGCGCGATTTTCAGAACCAAAGACATCTCGTTTACTATTTTCTTCGAGCTGAGGTCCACGCGCGAGTCAAGTATTTCAGTACTCGAGTCGAGCTTTTGGACGGACTTTCTAACCCACGTCACGAGGTCTCCGCCTTGTTCCAAGGGCTGCACGGGAGATTTTCCTGTGACGAGCTCGAGAAGGACTACGCCGAAGCTGTAGACATCGCATTTCTCAGTCACCTTCATCGTGTATGCGTACTCTGAAAAAAGGATGGGATTTTGTGAAAAAATTGTTTGTGGAGGGGCCAAATTGCAATTTCAGTAAGATTTGATGGATTGGTTTCTGTAGCATTTTCTTTTTGGTAAGATTCAACTTGAAGGGAATCTTGGGGATAAATAATCTAGTGTTGAAGTTAATTTAGGATCAGAATGCACCAAATTTGAAACTTCTATGACCAAAAAGGCTTCATGGAAATAAAAATTTCAGGGACCAATATTGCAATAGGACCAAATTGGGACCTTGCAGTAGGAGTACAGTACTACTCCCTGTCAGGGACCAATATTGCAAAAATCAAAAGTTCTCTCGGTTTTATAGTCAAGTACCAAATGCAAAGATGAAATATAGTCAGTTGGAAGTACTGCATAAATTTTCCACACATTTACCCTTACTCCCATATTTTTCAATTAAAAATAATGTAGTTTTCCAACACTAAAAAAAAATCGTTTTTAGAATTCGAAAGACATCGTTAATTATGAGTTCTAGAAACCACTTCTCTCGAATTCCAGAAAAATTATTATAGCTCAACATATTGTTTTAAAGTTCCACAAAACACTAGAAATCAATTATGGAACTCGAAAAATGGTCTGATACGGAGGGGTATTTTGGTCATTTCACATACCAGGTGCAATGTACCCGTACGAGCCGGCCACGGTCGACATGGACATCGACAGCGGGAAGTCGATCAGCTTCGCCAGCCCGAAATCCGCCACGTGTGCCTCATAATACTCGTCAAGCAATATATTGTTGGACTTTATGTCCCGGTGAATAATCTGCGGCTTGCAGTCATTATGCAAGTAACACAGCCCCTCGGCTGCCCCAACCGCAATCTTATACCGGGCCTCCCAGTCGAGCATTCGGGCCCGCTCGTCTTCGTGTAGAACCTCCCCCAAGCTCCCGTTCGCCATGTACTCATACAATATCAAATTGCTCTCTTGATGGCTGCAAAAACCATATAATTTCACTATATTCTTGTGCCTTATGTTCCCGAGCGTCGATATCTCTGCTCGGAAGCTGTTTTCCGTACTATTCGCTCCTTCGCCGCGTGACTTTTTCAACTTCTTAACAGCAATCACCTCACCGTTACCCATAACGGCTTTATAAACAACCCCACACGCCCCTTTTCCCAATACATGCCGTTCGGAGAAGTTTCCGGTAGCTTCTAGAAGGTCCCGATAACCGAGCCCTTCCCTCCGCGAGTAGTAGCTGTCGACAAGCTCGTCGCTCTTGATCTGCTCGTCGAGCGACGAGAAGTCGGGCTTTCGGGCCCGCATGGCCCAGCAGATAACCGCGATCAGGCCCGCCGAGACCAACCCGAAACAGCCCGATACAAATGTGACGATCTTCTCTCTCCTCGAGGCCCGGCCCATCCAGCTTCGGGCCGGGCCGTGCGTCGGGCTTGTCGACGGGCCTCGGCATTGGGCCAGGCAGAGCCCGTCGTTGCCCGCGAAGTTGCTGGGGTCCATTTTCGAGAAGGCGGGCGTGTCGGGTACCGGCCCGAACAGGGCATTGTTCGAAAGGTTGCACTCGATGAGGCTCCTCAGGCCCGCTACCGAGCTCGGGATCGGGCCTGTGAGCCCGTTGTTGTTCAAATAAAGCGACTCGAGCATCTGTAAATTCCCTAGGCTGCTCGGGATCGGGCCCGTGAGGTTGTTGTGGCTGACGTTAAGCGCGATTTGGATTGCGGAGAGTTGGCCAAACTGAAACGGGATCGGGCCAGAGAACGAATTTCCTCCCATCTGAAGCTCGGTTAGCCGGAAAAGCCCGCCTAAGGTCCCGGGCACCGGGCCCGACAAATTATTATCCGATATTTTCAGAAGTTCAAGTTTGATGAGCTTGCCGAGCGAATCGGGAATCGAGCCGGTCAACCGGTTCCCACTTAAGTCAAGCCTCTCGAGGCTCGTGCAATTTCCTAACTCTTGAGGTATGCCGCCGAGCAGCCGGTTTGATGACACGTTAAATGCGACGAGCCCGACGAGCTTTCCGATCTCGGAAGGTATGTGGCCCGTGAAATGATTGTCCGACAAGAGTAATCTCTCGATGCTGCTGAAATCCCCGATCTCAGGAGGTATAATCCCCGAGAACCGATTCTTATAAAGCTCGAGTCCTGAAAGATTTCGAAGCCGAGTGTACTCGATCGAAAGGGTTCCGGTAAGTAAATTGTCGCTGAGCATCAAATACTGGATCGAGCTGCACGTTTTCACGCCATGCGGCACGTTCCCGGTCAACTTGTTCGAACCGAGGCTAAGATAGGTCAGGTTTCGAGACCTGCAAATGTCGGGAGGTATTTCGCCCGTGAGGCCATTCATCGACAGGTCGAGTATCTTGAACTCGCTGTTGTACCCAAGAAGCGGAGGAATATTACCCTGGAGCCGGTTTTTGTACATCTGAAAGTCCATCAAGAACCGGAGGTTTTGGCACTCCAACGGGATGGAGCCCGTTAGATTGTTCATGGACAGGTCGATTTTCCTCACCTGCTCCATCTGGCAAAGATCGGTCGGAATATTCCCTTCTAGATTGTTCTCGAACAGGAAGAGCATACTGAGGTTTGAAATTCGGGATAAGCCTTTCGGGATGGGTCCCGAGAGGCGGTTTTCGGAGAAGTCTACTTCGACCGCGCTCGAAAGGTTCGCCAGCTCAGCAGGAATGGTACCATTGAACTGATTCTTGTAAAGGTACAACATTTGGAGCTTGGCGAGTTTTCCGATTTCTTTCGGGATCGGGCCTGCGAAATTGTTACCGTGCAGGCCCAATGCCTCCAAGCTGGTGAAGTTTCCTATCTCGGGCGGAAGCTCGCCGTAAAACTGATTTATGGAGAGGTACAATGTGTTTAACTGTTGGAGCTTTTGCAGCTCGGTTGGGAACGGGCCCACCAGCCAGTTATCTATCACGCCCAA